GTGTGTATGTGTGTGTGTATGTGTGTGTGTGTATGTGTATGTATGTGAGTGTGTACGTGTATGTATGTGAGTGTGTACGTGTATGTATGTGTGTGTGTGTGTGTGTGTGTGTGTGTGTGTATGTGTATGTGTATGTGTGTGTGTGTGTGTGTGTAGTCGACCGAACGAGTAACTCCGGGTGGTATACGTACCAGTGTTGCGGTGGACGCTTTAGTGCCAATTGAGCTAATATCGCTTGACGAGCCGATGTGTGCATCGGAAGTCGTTGTCATCTCAGTCCCATCCTGCATTGAGATGCTCGGTTCAACACTTCTGTTGAAAAGTAATGAAATGAAGGTGTATGCCACTGTTGAATTGAAGGTGTGGTGGAATGTGTGCCTTTACGGATAGGAACATACAAACCCGTGTACTGAAATGCAAAATGCAATCACTACCAGAAGTAATTTGTCTATGTGCCATACTTCTTATTGGTGTCAATGAGCATCAGGAAGCCCGCAATCAATACAGTCCACATGCAATTCTTCCTAGTCGTATCAATCAGCATACATACATCCAAACGTCCAATTAACATACATTTGTCCGGATGTTTCCTCCTTTTTCTTTTCCTCGTGACGCTTCAAGAGTGCGGCGGCCGCTTCTTTGTTGCGGAGCTAGATGTGTAAATTGGAACGAGTAAGTGAGTGTTGCAGGGGATGAAGTGCTCTTTCTCGGCTCCCACCGATATATCTAAACCAACACAAAACACGGTCAAAACGTTCGTGCGAGCATATTGAAATATATGTTTTTGCATCGAATATATATATATATAAATATATATATAGATAGATAGATAGATATATAGATAGATAGATATATATATATATATATATATATATATCCCAAAACCCTATATATTGCATATAGATCCACGCACAAGCACATACAAACTAGCACCACAAGGCAATGTCACATCTTATACCATCGCAGAGATAGTCTGCTGAGATAACTTTTGGTGCCCACAACATCAAACCCAGAGAAATGAGATACCCCTGTTACCGCGGGCATCACCCATTGGCCGCCCATATGACCTATGTACGTTTACCAACACCCAAAAATTCTGGGTCATACGTATGCACGTAATTAACAATCACTCCACCTTCATAAACGAATATACTTTGTGCGACCCGGGCTGTACCACGACATACATAGACATATCCACGCCCTCATTTCCGACCACTGAATGCCATACCATTGCGGAGGTTGTCTGCAGGAACAGATTGTGGGGCATGACCACAGCACCCACGATTCCGAGTCCGGAGAAGAGAGAGCCGTTCAATACCGTGGGAACTGCCCAGTAGTACGCCATCTGATCGGGGTCTATGTTAGCCATGGCCATCTCCACAATCAGCAACACGCCCAGGATAGTCATAAAAAACGCCACAATACCTTCTAGGTATCGGCCCTGCGATGTGAAAAACCCCGGTTGTCAGTGCACAGGTTGGAAAAAGAAAAATATACATCGGACCGACTAAAACCCTATACAACGCCTATTGATATATGTTGTGGATAAATGCATAAGTGAGTAGACGGAATCAATACTTGGACTAAATCCCAAACCTGTTGCAATACCTATTGATATCTGTGTAGATGGGTATATTGAAACCAAACCCTATACTGACATCCTATAGATAATCTGAACCAGTTTGAACCCCTCCTTAAAGAATGATATCATGTATTTTAAATACATATACATATATACATACATATACATACTATACGCATATGATGCACCTGTTGTCGTGACAGGCCGGAAAATGTACATTGAGAAACGTGACACATTGAAGTAACCACCACACGCTGACAATAGGTGTCAAGTGTGCAGTTTATAGAGCTGTACGAAATAGCGAACCCTTTTTATTCCGAGGCCCCTGAGCATGTAGGGCCTCTGGAACCCCTTTTTCGAATCTAGACCAGTTAACATGCTGAAATAAAATGAACACACCTGCATTTTCACCAGTATAAAGAACACCAATACTGTATTAGGCATTTTGGCACATTCACACCCGTATTTCTCCAGTATAGAGAACACTATCACCGTAACAGGCATACTAGCACAAACACACCTGCATTTTCTCGAGTATAACAAGCGCCATCATCTAGTACAAACACGCCTGCATTTTCTCAAGTATAACAAACACCATCATCTAGTACAAACACACCTGCATTTTCTCGAGTATAACAAACACCATCATCTAGTACAAGCGTACCTGCATTTTTTCGAGTATAAGGAACACCATCGTCGTCACCAACGAGCAGCAGATCCCAACTGGAATGGGCCAATTAAACAATATCTACTCCGCATTCCACCGATTTATCGATCATTATTAAGTGGCAAAAAAAAAATACAAAAGTAAGTTCGTGAATAACAATATACACATTTGACCGAATCTCCCTTCCCACTAGTTCAGAACAAACGCCGACCACCGACATCCAATTCCACGAGATTGAGTGCAGAATACGACTGATGAATAGACTGCAATTGGTGACTCTCACTTGACTCTGTAGGACTTTGTAGCAAAGTGTGCGGTTCGTGGCGTAGCATCCTCCATACGTCGTCTTCCGAACTGTTCCATATGATCGGAAGACGATGTATGGAAGTCATTATATACTAGTCTGGGAAAGCATATCATGATAGGGTACTAATGAAAAAGGAATAGAAATGGTAATTATTGAGATGTTCTTAGCTTGCCCGTACATGCCGCGAGGAACACACTGTTAAATACGTCTTGCTATATTTGTTGTCCAGCCTCAGATATTGATCACCTGCAGCAACATTAAAACACCAGATATTATATACATTAGCATCATCCATTCAATCACACATTAACCACCTCCATCTACAATGAACGCCAGATATATGCTCACATTTAAGGCGATACCGAATCCAATGACCTCCGGCATATCTGTGAAGATGATGGTGATCTCTCCTAATAGCCACATAATGATACGCATGGGCATAGGATACGCACAGCACATGAGCTCAGACAGACTGTGGTCGCTGTAGTGTGCACAATACGTACACAGACCGCCCACAAACAATCTGTGGAGGGGGTGAGAAAGAGCGCAAACCAGGTAAGTTCGGGACAAGCATCTGTCGTGTCAGTTAAATAGTATTGTGGATCTGACGAGACTGGTTTCGCCCTCTAGCATGGGTATATTGAGTAGGAGACATTTGGGGATATGAGAGTATGAAAACAGATGATTGTGAGAGTTGAGAGCATTCGACATATCCGCTCCGCCAGATTGTGGTAGCTGTAGTGCGGAGGTACGTACCTCCACCACCCATAAATAGCATATGGAGGTGGCTAGAATGAACGTGAAATAGAAAAGGGACATGAGCATACACTGAGCAAATCGAGCGATATTGTTAAAGAACGACACAGCATCAAAGAATATATATAACATATATATATATATATACATATATATATATATGTGTGTGTGTGTGTGTGTGTGTGTGTGTGTGTGTGTATCGAAGCATGGTTGTGAGTCTACCTCTTACCACTACACAAGATTTGTACCCAGAGAACGACATCTACGCTTGAATTTATTGACTTCAATAAATTGTTTTACGATAAGACTAAAATTACAACGCTAGCTATATACTGAGAGCATATTAGACTGTACACAGGAATGGTCGAACTTACGAAAAGACTATGGCCCACCACAAGATCCAAATTTGAGTATAACCAAACTCCGCCCCTGACGAAATCGACGCGTACATATTTCCTGTGTAAATCAAATAAATAGGAAGCAGGAATTATTGCATTAGGAGATGAAGCAATCCAAGTACTTGTATGTTGTATTGGCGAGGTTGTATATGAAAAGAATCAGTAACGAATATAAAAAACCAGGAATGATTAGATACAGAGTGCATATTATTCATACTGATATGGCAAAGGCTTTGGTGAAAGGGCGCTGGTGTAACCTGATAAGAGATGTATGACAAGTTGTTTTTTCATGTTCGTGCATGTTTAGTATATCTCTCCATACAATAGGCCTAAGAACTGGTGTTCGGGAAGGCCTGAAACATGACAGACTACATAATATTATACTTCTCAACACCTAAATTAGTGATTTTTGACCGTACTGGGTGTGCGAATCGCGTCTAAATGTGTATATCCTATATAAATATACGACTTACAATTTTGAATATTAAAACGACGATTTGAGCATTTAGCGACAAGCATAATAATTCACATACCTGGATCACTATACGCTACACAAATTAGCCACCCCGGTCCCACGAAATTCAAGAACTCCTGCAATTTCTGCTGAGTCGTGTGAAATTCATCTCTGGCCTCGATTTCATCCAGATTAGGGGCTTTCTTCAATCCACATGAGCATGGTTTCTCTACATGTAAAAATTAAGCAGTGTTGGTATCAAGTTTATGCTGTCATCGTACCATTTTTATTACCGGAGTGAGTCCAGGACCAGTAATCTCCGGATCAGATCTCGTGCACATGACCTGCTAATTGCAAAGGTGCGTCTATTGTACTGTGACATGCCGGCGCAAACCAGTACCAACGATGAATGATTGAGTGTATTCAGACATCTACAACTTACTTACGCAACAGAATCCACTGCAAACAACAAAGCGTAGCACACATATACGTAGCAAGACAGATATATATAGATGTACAAGCTGTCGATAGATAGCTAGCATGCATTTCAAATGTTTTTACCGAGCATCACGGATCCCTTCTAGCGATGAATCTCCAATGTAAATGAATTTACATAGGGGAAATGCGTGCTCGCTATATTGCAGATTTGATCAAAACCAGGAAAAACTAGAACATGATTGGAACAATACCTAACTAAATTTCCAACTGAACGACAAACGTATCAACAAGCACTACTGTCAATAATATACGGTTCGAAGGGAATATATTGAAATAAAGAGTCAAAGATGTAGTACGAATATACACATGATCATACTTCAAGCTGAATAAACTTTCAGAAAGGACAACCAGTTTAGCAACGACGTATAATTACATGAATGGATATATTCGTATAAACTAGTTAATATTATAATAATACAAAATCGTCTCGGAGCATGTTCTATTCTCAGAAGGAGAGAATAATAAATACATCTCATTCCAGGTCTTGTTATCTATTCGTACCTTCGTCAACCTTCGTTCTCCGCGTGTAGTCTTTCGTAGCTTGCCACCACGACTTAAGGACCGCGTATTCTTCATCAGAGCGAGCAGTGGACATGTTTGCTATATCTATAATTTATACAATGTTCACAATAACCTGGGAGCGCAAGGTACTCGATTGAAATGATATCCGTGGGGAAAAATTGTACACGTATTTATAGTTTCGATCAAGCTTGTTTATTTTACAGTATTGTACAGTACTTATTAGCAAGATTCGCAGGTTAAAATAAATAACAAGTTTCGGTCGTAGCCGTTCTCCTAATAAATAACCTAACTGAAAGTGTTCATTGTTTTTATTAAAAAAAGCAAAACTAAAACAAATACTGTACACAATAAATACCTTATTGTAAATATTTACTATAAAAAAAATAAAGATTACTGTTGTGTATTTATTGTAAAACCGCCTTGACCCCTTCAGGCTTCAGCTGTTGATTTTTGTTTTTTTGCATTTATTTCTCTTTTTTGCTTTTGTTTTTTAAAATAAAAATGATTGGTGAGCTGGTGAGTGACTGAGAGTGGGTGGTGAGTGGTGAACAACTCTGACTGTCTGACTAACGTCCAGTCTGGAGTAAACTCTGGGCTTTTTGGAAATTGGGATCCTGGACACTCTGGAGCTCGGGATCTTAAATCTAACAGGTGACACAAGTATTAATGAGCAGTGAGCACTAATGAGTGATGAGTGATGACTGAGTCACTGCCTCTGAAGCTGTCTCTGTGAGACTGTGAGCAGCAGGTCAGTTGGAACTAGGAAGACGGGAAATCGCCAAATTGGCAACTATTGGAGAGAAAGTCAGGACCCAGGACTATGGGAGCTCTGTAGAATTCTCTGCAGTATTTAAAAAACGTGGTCTTGTGTGGAGTGTGGACAGACAGACTCAATAGAGAAATTGGAGTTCAGGAATCAGGATCCTTTCTCTGGGGATGAGCTATTGCCTATTGAGCTTGGATATTACTCTTATCAAAAAACCTCTTGTTTTTTAAAAAATCAATACGTTTACAGCTATTCATCGGGACAGAAAGTGGAATATACATATTTTTTTTTCAAAATAGAAAAACAACAGTTTGGTTCTTTTTGTTTTTGTTTTTCAAACAGTGACACTCTGTTTCTTTTTATCTTTATTTAGAATTACAGTACATATTTTGCTTTTCTTTTCTTTTGTAAAACTCTTCTCTTTCAAGGGGGTCAGTGGGATTTCAGTAGAGACTCGAGATTTTGGATACAAATCGCTGTTTTTTATTTTGTTTTGTTTTTACTTCTAAAAAAACCCCCAATATGTTGTTTACATTTTTATATATTGGCCATTACTTCATTTCTTTTAAAACGTCACGTGAGGTACGTCATTGAGGGGTTTCATCACAAAGTCACAATTCTGGTTTTCCTCTATTCAGCTCTAATTGCCAATACAACCTCAAAATAGATACTCGAGAGAGAGAAGAATGTGCAGTACTATGCTCAAACAATAAAAATAGCAACTATAAAATGTTAGCTAGATCGCTTATTGGTCAGTCCTTTTTTTTATAACTATTTCGAGGTATTTAGAACTTCGAAATCCATCTTGTCACATGTGATGTTTCAGTGACTTTGTGACTGTGTAGCTGAGTCACTCATCAGTCTTCACTATATAGGACTGTGGGACGATGAGAGTGTGGGGCATGTGGGCCCGACCGCCGGTGGGGTCCGTCGCCATTCACCACTCACCTTTTATCGGCTGGCCGACTCGGCGACTCCTAGGGTCATCGGGCCGGCGTTCCTTCACAAGGCTCTGGGTAATAAACGGGGTTTCCAATTTCCAGACTCAAACATAAAACACGGTTGGGGCGCCGTGGGGACTGAAAGCCTCTAATCAAAGAGGGCAGTTGATAACTTGTGAACATATGTATCCGCGCAATTTCTTGAGGAAACCCCCCTCCCCCCCCCCCCGCGCCCCTTTCTTAATTTTCCCCCACTTTCACTCAACAGTCAACACACAGTCACACACACACATAAATATACGCACTGTTGCTCAGTCACACCCGCTCAAACATAAACTTACAAAGTTCCAGCTTATGCTTTCAGTGATAAAATGTACATTTGTCTAAATACGCTGAAAGCGTATTCACTATTTAGTTGTAGTCTGTAGAGTGTAGACTGTATGTAGTCCCTATTTCTTTTATTGAACTTGAAATCTGTCCCCGGACGCTTTTTCCTTATTTGAAGGCCCCTAAGAAGCCCCCGAGGATTCTGAATCTTTTTATTGTTTTTAAAAACGAAAATAGATTTTTAAGGGGGGGGGGGGGTTCTTTCAAGAAATTATTTATCTCACCCTCTGGCCTCACTCCGCCCTGCGCGGATATATGCACAAATTATTCTACACTCTTTGATTAAACGCTTTCAGTTCCCCCAGCTGTCTTTTATTGTTGCTGGCCAGGCCGAATCCTCAATTGAGACGTTCGTCCCCAACGACTCCTTACCCAATGACCAATGGAAATTGGACATACAAAAATCTATCACAAACCTCTCTGCCCAGGTCAGTACTCTACAGGCCAATCTCAATCAAATTTTGGGACCGGCTCTAACAACCCCGAACAATGAAGGGCCCATCTCCAAGGAGCCTTTATGCTCACTAACCTCTGTGCAAAAACAACCAACCTTGAATCCGAACTCCGGGACCTTAAATCCCAAACCCGTGCACCTATAGATGAAGACACACCCGACACTTTCCGATTTGGCTCTACAAGCCCGCCTGTTCCGCCTGCAAAAAGACCGCGGTCACAGGCGCCCAATAGCAGCAGTGAGCCTCCCAGCTACCGCTCAAAAGTGGACATACCTGAAAAACCGAGCCCTAAAAAACGCCCGACCCCACCAGCTTCTCAGTCCCAATCACAGCCGCCACCGAAAACCTTTTAACGAAAGTGGTGGGCCGCCCGAAGCCGGACAAAACTCTTCATGAAATGGATGACATAACTCCGGTATGGCTCTTCTTCCGAGCAATTTTCCCTAACGGCAAGCCCCCATCCCAATCAGTATTTGAAAAATACTGGCATACCCAACCAGCCCTCAATCGCCACCACTTTCTCTGGTATCTTCCGTCTAAATTGGTATCTTAACCAAATCGCCGCGGAAGCTCCACCAGTTTCATCCGCCTTTGTGTTCCTAGCGACTCTGTCGCCCGGGTGAAACGACATGCAGCACTTACGTGCAAATGGCAGCTTGATGAAAACATCGACCCCCGCTCCCAACAACATCTCGACGCTACGAAAGCAGCTTTAATTCACTATCTCCGCACCAAGCGGGAGGCCCGCTGCACACATGAACGAGCGCCAAAAATTCTTGCCCGCAGCATGGATGCACTACTGAGCTCACTTGTCAACTCCACTAACGCAGACATCCTCTAATCTACCGCGGACCGTCTCCAGAAGGCTTACGAAACAAAGCATGATGCAAACCTCTTCTCACTTAACCCGAGAATCCTGGTAAACGCTAAAGAATCAGCGCGTGCGGAACCCGGACGACTTCATATACCAACGGTCTTCCCGACACAATCATCCGACACGATGGATAACAACACGCAGCCTCAGCTTTCCACGCAATGATATAGAAATGGCTGACATCGTCAAAGAGGAGAGACCAGTAGTATTGACCGATGATGAACAATGTTAGGACCAATGTGGATGTCGCTCTTCAGCCCACAGGGATTCAACATGGACAACGTAGCACATACAGATAAGTGTTTGAACGTTATATCGATTTTAAGTCATGTTGATGTTATGTGTGTGGTTGAAACACCGCCCATCGAATTTTTAACTTGTACACTCTTTACCGTACGCGGTTTTCTTTGTGTGCTTTGGTGTTCATATTGCCGTGTTCTACTTTCCACTCAAACCGCTTACTGAAGAAGACGTCAGGCGATACATGAATCCCCCCGAGATTGGCGGTTCCCAACCAAATGTCGTGTGGGGAGATTTCAATTTCAAAGCCCGGAAGTATGGCCACGCATCTAAAAATCACGGACTACGTATGAAAACGAATGAGACTACTCTGCGTAATACGTGGCACTTGGTCTACCTCTATGCTGGCGGCTCAACTGGTACTGAATCGACCTACTACCCCCGCCTCCCTCCAAACTTATAAGCTGGCGGACTATGGTATCTGTGGTGACCACACCTTTGGACTTGATCTCCAGATACTTCCCACGAATCAAATCCATCGGCCCCAACAAATGCCAGCAATGCCGCCGCCTCCGGACCAACACCTCCCTACTCATAGATATAAATAACCGATATCGCCATCGACTGTATCACCTACGCAACAAATCCCGCGCGCGACTATTCCAAGCCAAAATCTGGGCGCATCAGAACCTACTACGGTCGTATATCACTTTACATGGACCAGCGGAAGGGCTGCTACGAATCCTCGACTGCATCTGGCGTTATGCCACTAACCCACAAATCTTTGGAGGTTCCTATTATGACTTAAACAGACCTTGGGTTCAGCGGCTGCCAAACCACT